AAAAAAAAGAGTTGCAGTCTCAGAAACCCAAAGAGCCACTTCTGCCCTGTCTCTTGGGGTCACTAAGAGTCAGAATTGGCTCCAGGGCAGTGAGTGAGTATAGGAGGTATTTTTTGTTTTGAGGCGGAAAGAGCATTTCGGAGCAGTAGCAGTAGAGGTTTGTGCAGCCGCAAGGACTCTAGGAAGTCAGGAGTCCATGAGAATTTAAAACCCTGTTTTGCATCTCATCGCCTCTCACCTCACCCCCTTTGCTCAGGATTCTTCTCTAGGGTCTTTGACCCAAAGGTTCAAGGCCAGCACCACATCCAGCTCTTCTCTTGGCAAGAGCGGCAGTTGTTTAAGGGGGTAGTGAGCCCTGCACTAGATACATTCCTGCTGCTGTTCCCGGAGAAGGAGATCAATTGACGCATATAATGGAGAGCCACTTGCACAGACTTTATGACATGAACTTGGAGGTAGATTACAAAACCATTTGATCTATTTTTCCTATTGACTTGAGGGGAGTCCTTCTCTATATACACTTTTGCATGTCAAGGGTGTGTGTTGTTTTCCTGCCCAGCATCCATTTACTCACCTCTGGTTGCAGGCTCTGGAACATTCTTTGAGAAGCCACCTATCTAGGTCTCCCTCCTAGTTCAAGCAAACAAACAAATAAAAAACCCAACCCCACTGCTGTTGAGTTCATTCTGGCAGGCAGACCTCAGAGGACTTGTGAGTTTGGTTCCAGACCAAACAATGTTTGCAATAAAGCCAACATCGCAAATAACTCATCCCATGAATTTTTGGTTTCCTACCTAGTGGCAGATAAAATGTTTGCTTGCACTCTCTTGTAGTCTAGTATGGGACAAAGACGAGGTTTTCTGCTCCTGTAAAGAGGGACAGTCTCAGGATAGCTGATGCAATAGTTTATTGGGGATGTGGAGGCGAGGGGGGTGCGGAGGGGGAGGAGGCTTGAGGAGTGAACAATGAATGCTGGAAGGGAAAGGGAGCATTAGAACTATTTGTGATGATGTATATACAACTCTTTTAAAAAGTGAGCTAACTATGGAAGTGTATGATATGTGAATACTATATCAAGAAAATTACTAAAACAAACTCGACCACTGGTTACCATGGGTGAAGGAGGAAGAGTTTTTGCTTAGGGGCATTGAGTTTATTTTAATGGTGGTGGAACACTTTGGAGAAGGGTGCCAATAATGGTTGCACAACATGAAGACTATAATCAACGGCACTGAATGACACATGTAGAAGTTGTTGATCTGGAGAATGTTTTGTTGTGTATATTTTGGCCACAATTAGAAAAAAATTACACGAACAATGAGAACAAGGAAGAATATGCTCTAGAATTGATTGTGGTGATAATTGTATAACTCTACTTGATACGATTGAATTATTGAATTGTATGACATGTGGAGGAAGTGCTAATAAAACATTGAAAAACAAGAAGAAGAAGAGTTACAGTCTCAGAAACTCAGAGGCAGTTCTCTCCTGTCCTGTAAGCTTGCTATGAGTTGGCATTGACTCAATGGCAGTGAGTTAGTGAATGTTTTTTTCTGGCAGCCTTTCAAGTGAGCCGTGTTATTATGAAAGGGTTTGAAATGCTGTGAGAATCACCACAATGTGGCATAGAGACATGGAACGAGCGCATGTTGTTGAAAAGGCGGCACAGATTGGCTTGCTCAATGAAGGGTTGCCACAAACTTCCATCTGTAAAAGATGTAAGAGCTGTAATTGGCAATAAAACAAGAGTGCAGAACAGAGTTGCCCCATAGGATTTTGGAGGCTGTCCTCTCTATGGCCGAGGGCTACTACATCTTTCTTTCTCCCCTGGAGCAGCTGGTGGATTCAAACAGGTGACCTCTGGGTTAGTAGCTGAGCTCCTAACGATGCCACCAGGGCTCTTTGTTCGCTGGGTTCCAACTGGACTTAAGAAGTGGACCAGGAACCCAGACCTGGCTGAGTGACATACAGAAGCCTGTAGCCGCAGGGCTTCACATCCGGCCGGTCAGTCTAACTCTACTCCTCTGGCTGCATTGATTGGCTTAGAATCAGTGAATGATCCCAACGGATCCAGAGTGAAACCCAGACATGTACGACCCTCAGGAAACAGATGGTTTCTTCTCTGCCAAATTTAAGCTGAAAAAGACAAAAGACAGAGACCCAGAATTCTCAGCAGCAATCGTGTTACACAGTAGAGATGGCAGCCAATGGGGAGGAAAGTAGAGTCAAGTGATGCAAAGAGACTGGATGGAGTGACAGGGTTTGAATGGCTGGGTCAAGGCACAGCTAAAGCCTGACCTCTGGACCTGACAGTTCCAAAAATCAACACAGATTTCCTTGTGCTGCAATAACTTCAAGTCAGATTTTCAAAACACTATGAAGCAATTCACTGTAATAATTCTAACCTGAGCTCCTGACACCTGTTAGGTATGAACCCCACCCTCTCTTGAAGCAAATTCATTCACAAGTGCCCAGCAGACTTCTCATGTGTTGAGCAAGCTAACCTTGTGGCATTCCCTCTACTCCCACTGGGAGCAGAAAAAAAGCCTCCTTGTTCTGCGGGAGTTGGGAGAGGGAACTCTTTATCCATAGCCCAGCAAATTTGCTAGTAGACAATATTTGGGCGGGGGTGGGGGGTGCACCCCCTTCGGACACTACTGAGACCTGGGTCCCAGAGATGTTGAAGTCGCTGGTGTCTCATTCTGTAGCACAAAGGCGCTTGCTGTTCCAGCTTAGGACTCTGCCTGGCTCCATTTTGCAGCCACTTTCCTGGTGCCAGGCAGGATTGCCCCTGCATGCTGCACTCATGCGCCTATATAATCCTTACAGGAACTCCAGGGGCGGGAATCATGGCGGGGGCGTGCTTAGTGAAGAGGCTGGGAAACGGAAGTGTTCCTTACCGGGGTCCACAGCCCGTTCCAGGACTGTGTACTGCAACACTGCCTAGTGAATCTGAACCAGGGATGTTTGGAGGGGGGCTCAAGGGCGGGAGAATCAAGCAGTAGGGCCATTTGGGGCGGTGGGAAAGTCGTCAAGGAACCCTGGTGGCGCGAAGGTTAACCTCATTCAGCCACTAAGCGAGGAGGTGGGGGGTGTGGAGGTGTCAGAGAGAGAAGCGCTGAGGGAACCCAATGGGGCAGGCCCACACGGTTGCATGGGGTCGCTTGGCGCAGGAAGGCAGCAGCAACAGCAGCAGCATGAAAGTTGAAACGTCGCTTGGAAAGGCTGGGCGGGTTGAGAAGGCTGCGTAAGGCTGAAAGCGGGCGCGGTCCCCAAGCTCAACTCGAGCTAGGGTGTTCTTCGCTGCGGCTCTGCTGGCCACGGGGTTTTCCGCGCCGCCAGACTCCCAGCCAGCCAGGTGGGGGGCGGCC